TAAAAAAAAAAAAAAAAAAAAAAAAGAAACATTCCCATTTTACCCTTAATTTAGGGTTTAATTGGATAAAATTAATTTTTTTAAAGTGAAAATTAGTGGTAAACGTGATTATTATTACTATTTTAGGAATATTTTATTTTATTTTTTAATAGGAATCTTGATTTTTGTTTTATTTGGAGAGAATTAGAACATTCAAAAAGTGGACAAAATTTGGCGCCTTGTTTCTTTTCTTTTTCTTTTTAAAATTAAAATATGTAATTTTGTTTTTATTTTTTTTAAATTGTAAGGTAGATAGTATCATCAGGCTCATATTTAATGGGCTTATAACTTGGGCCTTATATTAAAATGGGCCGGTCCATTAAACTTCGCTAGAATTGAAACTGATTTCTTCCTCCTCCGCCCATTCGACAATGACCTCTTTCAGTTTTGACACACTGAGCTACCATTCACAACATCCTCCGATACAGCGGGACAAGGCGGAGATGATTCCACCCAAAATCCTCTGCACCATCTCATAGGAAGCCTCTGACGGCGTGGTAAGAGAGAGTGTGGATGGATCCGATTGATGCTCTCCAGGATGCAATCGAATCCTTAACTCTTCAATGCGTTGATCTCTCAGGTGATTTCCGATTGTTTGTGTGAGATGCGTTCCTGGTCAGGCTAGCTCGAGAGATCACCCTTTGGTACCGAGCTTGGAGAAGCTGAAACAATTGGACGTTGATTGAGGATTTTGATAGGATATCAGAGCTGTGTGGATTGAATGAGGAATGGGCCATAATTGCGTTAAGAAATGGGGGATTGGAATTGCTCTGTTATCTCCGTTCCGAGATTCCGAGTGATTGCGAGCGTGCCGTTGCTTCCGCTTTAAAGGCTATGGGGGCTACTACTTCAAGGTACTGCGCATACTTCAATTATGGAGATAGGATGATGATCGTAATTGATTTTCTTGAATGAATTTGGTGTTAGGCTATAGCATTACATTAAATTTGTCAATAGAATGTCATGAATATCATATTTGTTTCATTTCGGTTCTCCCCTTCATTATGTGAACGAGGTTTTGTTCCTTCCTCATGCAAACTATGATCTACAGTATCCTTGAGGTTTATTTTTACTGTCACTCTATTGATTTGCAAGCCACGACTTACATAATTCTGCTATGGCATCAACAATCTGATATCAATTCCTGTCTCAAATTCCTTGTAAATTTTTGGTACAGGTAATGTCAATTATATCAACGCGTGCCATTGAAGGCAAAGCTGGAGATCTTGCTATTCAAGCTATGCAGAAGTTCCCTTCACCTCAACTAATGCAAAGGGGCTCGCGTGTCACTTGATACGAGTCCTGTAGTCAGGAACCCACTGTACAGGGCTCTCTCAAACTATTTTCTTACATGTCTCTTACTATATTCTATTGATATTAGCACTGCATATCTTAAGCTATTCTTCATTAATGTTAGCAATCACATGTTTCAAAACTATTCTCCATTGATGTTAGCAGCATTACATGTTTCAAATTATTGTGAGTTAAGATGGTGAAGTTGAGATATCTCAACACTCGAATCAACCAGAGGGAATCAAAACGAGTGTTTTTTTCCCCTTGGAACTTCTTATTTCATAGCATTTCAGGGGCCAAGCCACCATATTTTGTGCCATATGCCTCTGAATTAAACTATATAGGTCTATACCCTTGGGTATGTCTGGTGCAACAATGACCTGCCCTGCCCTACGTCCTACTTAAACTAGCACACTAGGCAAAGGAAATCCGGTAGTTACAAGAACCTACATGTATGTAGCAAATATACTTGCCAGTTAACCCTGTTTTGGAGATATTTCACCATGCCTTTTGTCAGTGTGAAGAAACTAGAAAGTTGGGGACTTTTTAGAGTATTGTTTTAGGTATGATTCTCAGACGTACGAGTAAAGTTAAAACAGGAATCTATCAGCCATCGATAAATGTAGAAACTAGGAAGAAAGTGAAAGGACATTAACAGGTGAAGGAGGTCCCCCACCTTGGTCTTGTCTTTGTCATTCCTGTGGGATCCAAAGCCAACCCCACAAGAAACAACCTTCAATCTCCTAATAAATACGTTATTTGATGTGACATTTCATAATAATAATAATAATAATCATATGAGTAACACAACAGCAAAAATTTTAAAACCCTGCTCAGAAAAGGGGGAAAAAAAACCATAATGATTTCTAGATTCAGACCAGCCTAAAGTTTTCTCTGTAGAACATCCAAATTCCATAAAAATTTAAAAAGAGGAATCAAAGACAACAAATAATGTATATTTTAACCTCAGGTTATTTCATCTGGACAAAATTGTTTGAATGGAGTGTTTCATCCAGCTTTAACATCTTATAACTTAAAACACCAGTGCACTAACGACCCTCGGTCATCAAAGTATTGATTGATCTCGTGCAGGTGAAACTGTGTATGAAATCTAGCTCTCTACTCCATAACCTTGATTGAAGATGAATAAAAGGAAAAGACTATCATCCAAAACATGATATATAGAATGAACAAGCAAAAGATGTTGCAGGCAATAATCTGAAAAACCCCACATACCCATCATAGCTACTGGAACATCTTGCTATATGCTTTTCTTTCTTGATTACGTCTGTCGACAATCTGCATCAAATACCACACAAACCCGTCGTTCAATACACGTGTCACCTCAACCAAAGAATTTACTTTCATTACCTTTTTCCTTGCAGCAGCGAGCTCTTTCTTTATTGCAGCTGAAACTCGAAAAAGCAATAGAGGATTAAACATACAACAAAAGTTGAATGTTCATCATAGCAAGAACTAGAAAATCATATCTACGTCTTCGAGGATGGATGATCCCATTCGAAGAACAATACAACTTAGATTTTAAGGATTTTCAAGCAATCCAATCCAATTGAAGATCTTCTCCAATCTCTCTCTCTTTCTCCATATGGGTCATGTTTTCAGCAACACATACTCGAAACTCAGAGAAAGACAGTGTTCTAGACAACATTTCATGGCAGAGAAGAGAGGCTTCTTCAAGAATATTGCCAATAACACCAATAAAATAAGGGGAGGAAATGTCCAAACCCCTCTTGATTGACTCCAGTATGATATGAGATGGTTAGTTCCAAATCCTAACATCTTCCTTCTATGATCAATAGTGTCGTGCAAATCACGAAATCTAACAAGAAGATATCTGAATATACAACATGAAATATAACGAAACTTCAATAGCAACACAACGATAAAAAAAAAACTATTACCGTCATTTGGCTCCAAATCCAATGCCTTTTTGAAACTTTCGACAGCGGAATCGATGTCATTAAGAGCCATGTATGCCTGGATATGGAATGAATTCGAATTATCAGTAAGCATAAGTATGCAATAGAGGGTACCTATGCAAATGGTTGCAAGCAGTATGTAAAAGGAGGCTAACATAAAGTAATACTAAATACAAAGAATGGGTAATCATGAAGCCATAAACAGGGGAAAAATGATTATGCCTTGCAACCCTTCGAGCCATTGCCATCTTAGCCACACGAAATACCAACCTGACCTTGGCGAAACAAAGCTTTTACATTATTGTCTCCGTCACGCATTGCAAAATCGGTGTCCAACAACGCTCCTTTTAGATCCCCTAATTTCAACTTACAAGCCTACATCAACAAAAGAGCCAGTGATGAAAATGTCTAGAGGAAGAAGAGAACCACTTCTTAGTTTCGAGGTTAAAAAGGACAACGAAAGTTAATCAACCACTGCAAGCAAGAGAATAAAGTTGGCACTTCCCGATTTCAGGAACGTTCACGTACATTTTATAATTTACAAAATCAGATGTGGTAAATTCTGTAAGATCCAGGATATTCTACTGTAAAAATGTTTAAGGATGTTTCTCGATTCAAAGTAATTTTTGGTTTATTATGGTTTATTATAACAATGTTCAGTCAAATTACCAACTCAAATCGACTGTCAAATAAGTCTTTCACAAATAACTCAACAAAGAAAATGAAATACATTCAATGGGACACATACCGAACTATTTGTGAAGATCTGTGATTTTGTCTTTCTAAGATATGAACTCTTCTCTGCAGATTCAAAGGAAAAGACGAGGAGCAATTAGCGGAGTGTTGGTGAACTCACACATACTTCGATATCAAGGTATAGTTTTATGATACTACCAATTATGTCAAAGGGAAGATTATACCTTCATCAATTCCTTCTTTTTCCCAGCAGATATCGAGGAAGCGTAAAGCCTTCCGATACTTCCTAAGAGCCATCTTGTAGTCTTGCTTCTGTAAGGAAAGAAACCCATCATTAAAATTCAATGATAAGCTAACAGAAAATCTAAATCCAAGGTTCCTTCTCATCGAGGTTTTATCGAAATAAAACGTGAATGTGAGATGGAATCTGATGGGAATACCTTGTAATGCTCATTACCAAAAGCCTTCACAGAATCTACAGCATTCACCCACCATTCAAGTTCACTAGGGGTCTGTTCTAGGTCAGCTGGCCAATCAGGAAACGTATCCCCATCATTGAAAAAGTTCGAAATCCCGTCATCCGCTCCCTCAGGAATTTCTCCACAATCCACAATAACGACGTCCACAGTAGGGCGATCATTTTCACCAGTAGTAACATGTTCAATTGAACGAACAACACCCATTCCTTTCACAACCTTCCCAAATACTACATGTTTCCCGTCTAAATGAGAAGTGCGAGTAGTACTTATAAAAAATTGGGATCCATTTGTGTTGGGACCAGAATTAGCCATAGATAACATTCCTTTCCTTTCATGTTTCACCTCGAAATTCTCATCATCGAATTTCATGCCATATATAGACTCTCCACCAGTACCATCTCCAGCAGAAATATCTCCACCTTGTACCATGAACCCTTTTATCACACGGTGGAAACACGACCCCTGAGCAATTCAAATTGATTGAAAAATAAACACATGAGCATTCACGAATCCAGTTCAGAGTAAGACGGAACAAATTCTAATCAAACAAGTGAAGCTAGTTGCAACAAATACCTAAGAACAGTTCCAAGAAATAATCGATATACGAGAATGTAAAACAATATTACGAAGGTCATGTTAGGAATCACGGACTCTCCACAACGGTTTGATATTGTCCACTTCGAGCATAAGCTCTCATGTCTTTGCTTTTGGTTTCCCCCAAAGGACTCATACCAATGGAGATGTATTCCTTTCATAAACCCATGATCAACCCTTTAATTAGCCGACGTGGACTCCTCTCTCAACAATCCTCAACAGGTCAAATGTCTGTAATCGACATTTTTAACGAACACGACTAACTGGAGACCTCGAATAAAACAAATGAAAGAAGAAACAAGACCCTGATTATAGGAAAAACTAAACCCAACTCTTCAAAAACACATCCTAAGAACATAAATCGGCAACAGCTAAAATATCATCTGCAAGTACAAGAACACCACTGTTTTATTACTGATCAAGGACAGAGACTCCATCATTTCACAGACGCTCATAAAGGAAAGAAAATCCAACATCTACTAAACTAAACAAATTATACCAAAAGGGGAAAGATCAATAGAAGTATTCACATCCAAAACACGTAAATACAAAGAAACCCAGTTCGCATTGAGATAATCATGCACAGACGAACACAAAACACCATAAAAATAGAGAAGAAACGACCTTAAAATGAAGAGGAACACCCGTATGAGGACCAATTCCCTTCTCGCCAGTGCAAAGAGCTCTGAAATTCTCAGCTGTTTTAGGCACCACATCGTCATAGAGCTCTACCACAATTCTACCCTCGAGATCACCTCCAATACTGATATCCAAGAAGCAACGAGGGCGCCCCATCTCCTTCTGTTTGTCAATTCTCACCCTGTTTGGCCTTGACCCAATATATAAAACGAGTTTCTAGAGAGTTCCAACGCGTTTCAACAAGATACTGAAAACAGATTCGCTCTACCTGGGAGAACGTGAAAATGAAGACAATCGATTAACCCTAAAAGGCCGGCCACTGTGTATTTTGAATTCCACAGATCTTTCTCTCTCTACCTCTCTTTTTATGGGTCTGTGGAGTGTGTCAGTGGGTGTCTCTCTCTCAAGAAGAAATTCAAAGGGAGTGGGTATTAGAGGACCAAATTCAAAGGAGGTTTGGTTGTGGAAGCGTGGGGTAATGAAACGTAAATGCAAGGGGGAACGATGAAGCTGTGTGTCTGTGGGGATTGCTCAGATTGAGAAGATATGAAGATGGCCCTCGTCCGATCGCTGCATTTTTATTGTCGATCCTCGTTGTTCCCTTTTGTCACCATCCCTTACATACACCCAACTCATTCAATTTCTTTTTTATGCTTTTAAAATTTTAATTTCAGAATTTTAAAAATATTTCAAAATACCTTATGATTATCATGATTCTATTTATTTATAATAATTGCACAAATCATTCCGTTTGTTATAATCACATATTTTGAATTTCAATTGTTTATATTTTGTTAAATTGTCATTGATCTTAAATAAAAATAAAAAAATTCCAATTCAATCATGAAGATACTATTAGAAAGTGACAAGATCGTTTTAAGAGACGTTTTCTTTAGTTG